TTTATTTCAAATTCGTTGCGATAGTCGAAGTTTGCGTTGCGATTTTCCAAATTCGTTGCGATAGTCGAAGTTCGCGTTGCGATTTATTCCAAATTCATTGCGATAGTCCAAAATCCCAACGACTGGTGGTATTGCATTTGTTTCTTAAGAATTTTCTCTAAAAATATAATATTCGCACGGACGTGTCGAAGACACGTATTACCACGACCACGACCACGAGACGAGACGGACGGCGGCGGCGGCGGCGCGCGAGAGTCCCCTTTGTTCTCTATCACTCAACAAGGAAGTGGGAAAGCCAAGCCTTAAATACCATTCCCAATAGTGTTTCCAATACTATATGGGATTGAGCATTACCAACACTTGTTTCCAATACAATGTGATTATTCAGGAAACAATTAACAATCATGCACCTTAAAACAACTGAATCAGCAACCAATTGCATTAGTATTATACGATTAAATATGTCATAATTAAAAGTCATTCTACAATCAATCGCGATTATTGCAATTTTAAGCAAAACATTCAAAAATAATATCACTATTTAAGGCTCAATCCCACATAGTATTGAAAACACTATTGGGAATGGTATTTAAGGTTTGGCTTTCCCACTTCCTTATTGAGTGATAGAGAACAAGGGAGACTCTCGCGCGCCGCCGCCGTCTCGTTTCGGGTCGTGGTAATACGTGTCTTCGACACGTCCGCGTGAATACTATCTTTTTAGAAAAAATTCTTAAGAAACAAATGCAATACCACCAGTCGTTGCGATTTTGGACTATCACAACGAATTTGGAATAAATCACAACGCGAACTTCGACTATCGCAACGAACTTGGAATAAATCGCAACGCAAACTTTGACTATCGCAACGCGAACTTTGACTATCGCAACGAATTTGGAATAAATCGCAACGAATTTGGAAAATCGCAACGCGAACTTGGACTATCGCAATGCGAATATGTAAATCGCAATGCGATAGTCGAAGTTCGCGTTGCGAATCTGGAAACTGATTTGCAATACCGGAGATCGCGTTGCGAATTATCGATCGCATTGCGATTTAGTTGGTCATTTTGGCAAATCCAAAAAAAGTTGGTTAAAATCATATATTATAAGACATTTTTGGTCACTGAGGTTATTTTCTCTATTTTTAATTATATTTTTTAATTATTTACTATATTCTTCTTTTTTTATTTATATTATATTATTTTTATTATATATATCTTATATCATTATATATATATATATATATGTATATATGTATTTATTTTTCTCCATTTACTGTGTATATATTTTTTCTTAATATTATATTTTATACGTTTTTATATATATTTTCTTAATATTATATTTTTGTTTTTATTTATTTATATATATTATATTTTTACTTTATTTTATTTTTTCTATTATTTTTTTAATATCATGTATATCTTTATTTTTTATTTGTTTTACTTAGTATTATATATTTATTATTTTTACTTGTTTTAGTAAATACTACTTTATATGTACCATTATTTTTATTCCTTTTTAATTTCTTTTACTTTTTTTTTTTATTTTTTTACTCCATTAATTTTTCCCTTTATCTGTGTCTTTAGTTTTTAACATTTTATTCATTTTTTTATTTTTATTTTTATTTTTTTTACGTGTTTTGTTATTTTCCATTTTTCCTTGTTTTATTTATTATTCTCACGTTTGCACACTTGCTATTCTAATTCTATTTTATACTCCGCTACGAATCTAACATTTTTATCTTTTAAGGGTATTCAAATCAATCAATTGTAAGTAATTTGAATCGGGTCTGTTAAATTTTAATTTAAATTTCGAATTTTCGCAACTAAGACAACCGGCAAATTAATTGGTACCGAAAGGGCGGTTCAAGGGTGTTAATCCTTCTTTGACCGTAACCGACTCCCGAACCCGACAAATTTCTGGTGTCCGACCCACCTAAATTCATTTTAAAATGGTCGATGGCGACTCCAATCCACATTTTTCAAGTCGAAGCCCAATTCTGGGGCCCAACCGAAAGACGGTTATGATAATATGAAGATAAAAAGGGACCAAAAGGATAATTACCCTATTTTAAAGGATGAGAGCTTTTATATCTCTTATTTCATCTTCTTCCCTTCAATTCTCTCATTTCTTCTTATTCCTTTCTCATCTTTTTTTCTCCATTCTTCCACCCAAGTACCATAGCTCAAAGGTAAGTTCTTGAACCTCTTTCATAGTTTAATTTCGTTCCTAATCCCTCTAGGAACATCATATTAATGTTTCAAGGCCTTGGGTTCTTTATAGCTTAAGAGAAAGAAGGGTTTTCATCCAAATCTTAGAGGAAGGAAGTGTGGCTAAGAAAGTAGTTTCATTTCGGGATTCTTTAACTAAGGTAGTGTATTTTTAATCCTTTGAAGTACTAAGGCTTTCATAAATGTGGAGAATTGCTATGATTTGTGCAGTTGAGCATTTTAAGGTTTAAACTTGAATTCATGATTAAATGACATTTTAGATGTAAATAAGATGTTTTATGCCACTTAAGACCCTGAGTAACTTCCTAAAACTTTAGCACATGATTAGAAACCAAACAAAGACATTTGATATGATATTTGGTGTTTTTCGAGCCTAAATAAGACATGTATGGGTTCAAGTATCGATACTAGATGAATAGTATCAATACTGGATAATTTGGGATGAATTTTATGGATTTCCAGCTGGGAGTATCGATACTTCTAGGGAGAGTATTGACACTGCACCTACAATATTGATACTCAGGGTAATAGTATCGATATTGGGTCACATTTTCAACAACAAAAGTCATTTTTGGTACCAATACTTATAGAAATGAGTTACAACCAAAGTAACCATAGTATGTGGAATACGTCCAAGTATCTTCAGTCGAGCATGTAACAAGTATATAAGAAAAAAGGATCATTGCAGAGGATGTACCGACAAGCGGTATGGCAGATTAATCAGATTATGAAATAGCGGGATTGTGTACAACATGAATGTTAGCGAATCGTGGACGTACAATTATCCCTTTAATTCGAGGGTGAATACAGGAAGAGTGTGATAAGTGCAAATAGAGTATCGCTACCTAGTGTTGAACCCGAGTCATGTATCGGGGTAACTAGTATCACAGCCAGTGAACATCAAACAAAGTAATCATCGTAAAATCACGAAATGCATATAGACTCCTTTAGAGACAGAGAATGACTAAAACACCCTAAGTAACGAATGACCAGAATAAAATATCTTAATAAACTATCAGAAGTAACAAACCAATAAACCCTTGCATAATGTTCTAGATAAGAGAACGAGTGAGATATCAGCTAGTGAGAGGGTGACCTCACTTTAGTGTGACTAGCTATGTTAAAGTGTAGTCAGGTTACCTTAGTTGTCCTAGTGGGAAATTGTCAGCGCGCGAGGCACTTCAGAGGCTAACTAGGGCACAAGGCCCAAACACTCACGAGGAGTGGGTTAGTGTGTTGTGTGGCTTTTGGGCCCTTGGATATGCATGTATAGTTGCATCAATCCAATACAACATATATCCTTAAAGCTTGGCTTGACGGCTATGTAAGACCGAGCTAATGCTTCAGTTGAGTGGGAATTGTATCGATGCTATGTGACATTGGGTTCCCCTTCATGGTCTACCTGATGGCTAATGTGAGGACCATTAGATCATTCAACAGCTTAGTGAGAATTTTATCGATGCTATGTGACATCGGGTTTCCTCTGTTAACCAGTGTTTGATGGCTACGTGAGATCATATACTAGCAGTATTACATTAAGATAATTCACAAAAGTCTCAGTTTTGCATTTAGATAATGTGTAGCAGTTACATTCATTAGGGTTAGAGACCCTTTAGAGGTGTACTCATGGCGAGGCCATTAGCAGAGGACTAGGGGGAAGCGTGAGACTCCTACTTCAGTCATAGAATAGTTGAACCTTAAGTAGGTAGCACTTGATTAAGATCATGCATGTACCTACTGCTTAATACTATGTCTTTAGCAAGCTTGTGTTTATGAAACTCATAATGCTGCTATAGATTAGAAATTATACTACTAGGCTTTGTAAGCTCGGTGTTTGGATGTTTTTCATTTGCATGTTAATAACTAAGCCCGATCGTGGAGCACCGTCCCAGTAGGACTTCTAGCATCTCCTTCATTGTATTGTATTGTAGCTTTAGTAGGCATATTTATTTATAGTACCTTACTTACATATTTGAGTTGTAACCTCAAGATATACTATTTTGATTTAAACTATGTATCACAAATTTCTGGTTTATAATTTTTTTTATAACTATTTATGTTTACCATAGTGTGTTTTAAAATGAAAATGAACATGTTTTGAAAATCAGGGATTGTCTCGTCTGCCCAATGTGATACTTTAAGCCCAATCGGATTTAGGGTGTTACACAGTAACTTGTCGCTCAATTTATATTTAGAACATAACACCCACACCCAAAGTTGATCTTTATTAGAAATAAGACGATAGGCTAACTTCATGAGAAAACTTTTTAACATTTAGATGTTATACTAGCATAAAAGATCCAACAAATTTAATCATGTTAAATTCTTTTAAAATTATGTGTAAACGTAGAATGATAATTTTGTTATGTCAAAATGATACAAAATTAAAGAAAAACATTAAAATCATGATCAATGGTCATGAAACAGAAATTTACCGGAGACCTATTACAGTTGTAACTTGAAATTTATTATTAGAGAAATGAGAATGTGGTAGTGTTTGACAGTTCATCATTTTAGATTGGGTAAAAAGATGCAAACGGTGGTTTTGTAAAGAGTTAGAGAGTGAATTAACTCAGGAAGATGATGATCAATGAGCAAACTGTCTACCACCTCTATAGAACAACCATCTACGATTCTTCGCCCAAATTAAAAACAGTAAACCGCCAAACACAACCACTATCACATTTCTCCCTTCAACAGATGTGATAAATTATCATAGTAAAAAGTTGACGGAAAAAGAGGTAGAAAATATTTATGTAACATTGAAGTCGAAATATATTCTCATATTTTCATTCACCCACAGAAGCCAATACAAATAACTCGATGAACAAAACAAAGGCTTAAAAACACGTTTAATTGTAACAACTAAAGCCAAGCCACCATCCTGAGAGGCCTTTAAGAAGAGCAATGAATTGGTTTAATAGGACTTCCCACAATGGATTAGGCTTCCTGCGCCCAAAAACAGTCCGAATATCGCTGCACTACCCATTGTGGTTTGCCCGATATATCGAATCTTGAGCAGTCCTGGTACCTGCACAACCTGAAAATATGAATCTTGATATGCACAAAAGCGATCTTATGCAATCACATGGAACAGGTGAAACAGCAAAGACACAGCATACTGTTTTCATGGTTCATAGAAATATGGATCATATATCCATGGAACACTACTGTAATTTGTGTGGTGAGATATCCGCAAATATGAAAACATAAACACATAATTTTTATCCAAAAAAAAAGAAAAAAGAAAACATAAACACATAATTGACATTGTTTCATCTCTAGAAATAGAAAGCAAAAATGCTGGACATTACCTTGTACCTAATAGCCTCATAAGTCCCATATACAGCACCTGTACGAGCACAATCACATTAACAGTCCAAAAGTAAAGGATAACAAGTAAAGTTAAGTAATCGTGTATAATCACATAATCCTCCTAATCATCCATCCTTATTCTTCCAGTTTCTAGGGGACATACAGAGCACATCACTGTCACTCAGATTTGAGTGACTGACAGGTAAAAAAATGTGCACAACAATGGTAAACAGAAAATTTCTCAAGTTTCTTATATGAGTTTGGATGATCCCTTTGGAGTATAAAGTCTCCATACCAATTTTGTCCGGATGGGAATCAAACATGGGTGTTGTACACAGGTATTTCAAGAAAAACAAAGCATCAGAGCAACATAGGAGCACACTGCCCTAGAATATGGTCTCTGTTGTTAGTTGAAAATTATGTGTGTGAATTGAACACAGACACCATGTTCCTAATGCTTAGAACTTTAACTTCCAACTGAAGGTATAGGTTTTGAAAGCCTTGGGAAGGATGGCTCGAGATCTATATTAGCTAGCTCTCAATCGTTAGCTGTAAATGAATCGCAATGTGTTTTACATGCCAAGAATAGGAAACAATGACACTTCTGAATCCCAAAACTATAGATTTGCAATAGTTGTCTCTGAAATTGTTTCTTTTCAATTTATGCACACCATATTTTCCAAGTATAACAACCAAAACAAACCATCACAAGATAATTGCTTGAAAGTCTAAATGCATATTCAGTAAGACAATTTACGATAAGCATACATGCCAGTCTCGATTAATTCATAGGGACCATGAAACAAATCAAAGAATCAACAAAGAAAAAAAGGGGAAAAAACTCAAAACAAGTACTTAGCTAACCAAAAATCAGTAGTTCAAACTTTTTTTACTTGGTCCTCCATAAAATAAGTTAATAAAAGAAGCATTTTTCCACATTTGTACCAAATATGATCATAAATATCATCCTTCTATTTATTTGTTTGTTTGTATGTTTATTTTCCTCTTTTTACTAGGAAATAAATAAATATCAAGCCTAACAGCCGATTCTAAATTACAAAAATAAAGGGTTCCCTTCCATTCTTAAACCAAAAGTGGGGGTTTTATTTGAATTTGAGTTTTAGGAATTAAAAGAAAACACTTTCACTTTAACTTGCTGGGTTTTTTCTTTTACTCAATTTTATTTGCAAAGAATCAACACTGTAAGCAAAATCAGTTAAGAAAGAAACAGTAATCCAATGAAAAAAGAACCATTAAAATACATCTCCTATGTTAAAAACCCTAAAGTTGAGAATTTGGACATTTTGTTACAGAATCTTAAGCCGATAGTTGCTAATTTCCATTTGGCCTTCTGATTTCAAAACTATAATAATATAAAATGTTACTGAAATTGAAGAGAAGTTCATTGATTTCAATGGTTTCAGTACCTAACCAAAACAGAGCAAAGAGGTTTAGGGTTTTAGTGAGTGGAAGAATTAGGAACTTACCAACGGCGCCACCAACTGCGCCTCCAACGGCGACTCCGGCGGTGACGCGAGCCAAGCAGCTATCTCTTGCCATGCTCCGTTCAATATGTCGTCCTCTTCCCCTAATTTTCTGTTTGCTTTGATGTCTTAGGTTTTTGCGAGATTGGTGTGTTAGGTAGCTGAGCTAGGTTTGCCGGATGTTTTTACTTACGTTTTGTAGTATAAAAAGTTATGAAAATAAAATTAATATAAATTAAATATATATATATATATATAGAATTACAAATAATAGTTCAGGTAAACTAGTTATATACTCGTCAACTTTTTAAGCCTTTTAATTTTGATCATTATTTTTAGGGTTGATTATACAGTTGATCATTTTTTTTGTTCATTTTTCTCATTGATTTTAAAAAACACGATATATAATCATTTTCGTTTTTATTTAATTAAGACATAATCACTTTTGTTTTCAATTTAATTTAATTTTTAATAAATTAAAATAAATATAATCCTCTAATTGAATAACAACGTTAATAGTTAACTATTTTTATATTAACTTATTAAATATATTTTATTATTAATTTAATTTTAAAAATATTTTTTGTTTTAATTTAAAAATATTTTTAAAAAATATATTTATTCTTATGTAAATTTTTAAAATATATTTATTACTATTTTAACTTTTCAAAATATATATTTTATCTTAATTTACTAAATTATTATATTATTACTTCAAATTATTAAATATATTTTATTCTTATCTTAACTTCAAAATATTTTAACATAAAATATATATTTTTATATTAAAAAAAATAAATATTTTTAAAATTAATTAATAATAAATATATTTAATAAGTTAATATAAAAATATTTTTTAAAGTTAATATATATAAAATATTATGAATTTATGTTAAGTATTTTAATTTATTAAAAATGTGATTAAATTAAAAGAATATGTAAATAATAGGGACAATGTGTAATTATACTAACAACTGTTAACTCATGATGACCACATTATAATTAAATAAAAACAAAATTGATCATATATTATATATTTTTTAAATTAATGAGAAAAAATAGATAAAATACAAACATAAGTGATCAACTATATAATTAACCCTTATTTTTATATATATCTTAATTATCTAATCATTAAACTTTTTAAACAATGTTGATATAATTTTGACGAAATAAAACTTACTACAACCCATCGTTGTAAAATTTTATTTTAAAGCAGTAGTATTTATTTTAAAGAGTCCCAAATATTTGATTATAAAAAATTAAATACTTTATAGTTGTTGGTGTTTAAACTCCAAACATATACAAATAATAAACATCCCTTTAACTATTAATATAATCCTTTAACTACTAATATAATTTAATTTGTACACTTCATCGTCTACTTTTAAAATTTCGGTCAAATTATTATATCATTCAAACTATCACTTAGTTTTTGTACACAAACTATTTTATTAGTTAAGCTTAATAAAAAAATAAATGTTTAAACAATATCGTTTTTTATTTAGGTGTCTAAATTGTTTTAGGTTAATATAGGTGCTTAATGTTTTCAATGTTACATTTTTAGGTGTCTCGACCTAACAAAAATTAAATTCCGTGACAAGTGTCATCTCAAGTAATTTTGGAAATTTTATAAAAGCGACATATGTTATTTAAAACAAAATTTAACGACGATAACAATCAAGACACCTAAAAATATAATGTTGGCAATATTAAGCACCTTGTTGTAATGTTTTTTTTAAACGAAAATGATTTTTATTTTTATAGCGTAAAAAATTATTTATTTTAAAGATCGAATAAAATTTAAAACTTAGGGTGTAATTTAGAAACGAATCGGAGCCGTCATCAACCTTTAAGTTAGGTAGGTCGAATACCTAAACATCTTTTAAAACAATTTTAAGAAAAATCATTTTAAAGACAAAAATTAGTCTCGTTAACCAAAAAATCATTTATAAATGGCTCGAGAGTCGGTTATGTGTGGGGAAGGATTAGCACCCCACAACGCCCAAAAATTGGTACCGGTCACTTAAATGTTGTCGTAGTGGTGGAATTTATAGATTCGAGTAGAAATTTGAAGTTCAATCCTTTTATCGAACATTGATTCATTCCACCATTTTTTATTAAAGCATACTCGATTATCTTCAAATTCATTTTTTGTTCGAATGTCATTGAATCGTGCTACCTCTACAAGTTACACTTTTCATGCCCATTCTACAAAAGAAGTTCTTAAAAATTCATACAAGTACGAAATAAATTTAACGATGATTAGAATCAAATTTTAAGGGTATTTTATAATTTTCAAAAATGTCAACTACTAAAGAATAATAGAGTATTCATACATGAATATGTGAAAACATAGTGAAAATGAAATATATATAAATATATAAAATGCAAGGTAATATAAGAATATATACGAAATAGATCTAAGAAAATACACATATAAAATACATATATAATATGCGTATATGAATTACATAATATATAACCTACATATGAGAGTGCTTATTAATGAGAGGAACATCAAATATCATACACATACCCGGTTAATACTAAAGCCTTATATATTTATATATATATGACCATAATGTCACATCATATACACATAAAAACAGAGAATTAACATGTAATCATGTACTGCAGTGGGTAACCAAATAAAAAACAACTTTGAAAGCATAACAAAAGGCGTGACAAGAATCGAAGGTTAGATCGCAAATCACAGAAAAAATAAGCACGGAGGACTAAAATGTATTAATGATAAAAGAATGAGGTCTTTACATAAATAACCCACAAGTATAAAAAAAAGAAAACCCTAGCTTTAAGTCATTATGATGCCGCACCATAGACAAATTAGAGCCTTATTAAGACTAAAATTAATAAACCTAATTAATTTAATAAAACCCTCCCCTTAGCTGCCGCTCGTTCTTCTCAATCTCACTCTCCCTTTTCTTTACTTATGGCCGTCTCCTCCCTGGATCCCAAAAGACAAAGCTCGGCTGCCATGCTTTAATGGAATTCTTTGCTCCGATCACCATCCACAACGACTAGGTAAGGCTCAAACTTAACCCGAAACTCCTACTTAGTTTCTAACTCTTCTATTCCTCTTCGACCAAAGCTTCCAAGAACATACTATCTCCATAACTCGACCCTGCTCAACGCTCCGACCACCACCAACGGTGGTCGGGCTACCCCATAATCTAAACCGAGACATCAAATCGACCCTTGTCTATCCTGAGTTCTAAAAAGAAAGCTTACTGTCAACATGAAAGCCTCGACCTTCAACTCCCCATCTCTGGCAACGGTGAAGACACTCCGGTTACTATCAAGAAATAAGGTAACGACGCTAAACCCTCTCTACGACTCTGTTTTTCTGTGAAAACCAAAGGGAATCATATTCCAAAAATAAAAAAAGGGACAAGAAATACCTTTAAAAATGCTTCTGATTTTTTTTTTCATTTGAATGGGGAAGACCCCTTTTACATTGTTTCTGTGTAACACCAATGGAGAGCTCTCTCTTTACAGTCAATATTTAAAGATATAAAAATTTCTTTGAAAAATCTCTCCTCTCCTCCCCTTCTTTTCTTTTCTTTACAGGTTATATAGACCCTCCCCTCGTATTGTTGTGCTCCCCCTATCGATTGCCCTATATGTTTTTATATGCTCGATGGACTTTTTCTTTCCTGAATTTTTTGGTTCCCCCTTCATTTCATTCTTTTTCAGGTTTATATCAAAGATGAGTTAGCCTGAAGGTTGGTTTGGCAGGTGACCTTCGGGATATTGTAATACTGGTGTTGTTGCAGGCAACAGTGATGCAGCAGGACATACATGGAAACGGTAAAGGGGCATTGAATGTCCCAGATTGTTAGGGATATTGTCCATTTTGTTTGACTTTAGTTTTTCTCTTTTTTGTAATATATGTATATATTAAAATTTGTAATACAGTCCTTTAATATTTAGTTTATTTGTAATATATCCTGACATTAAACTGCCGTTAGTACGTTTGTAATATGATTGTTGAACTTTTCAGACGTTTGTATTTAGGTCCCAACTTTTAAACTTACAATACGGTCCTCAATTTCATTTTAAATCTCAAATTCTTTTTTCGATCTCGAATTTTATTTTTCGTTTCTCTCTTCTCATTTCCAGTGTATGCATGTGAAATTTTAATTTAACTTTGAATTATGTGGAGGTGTTGACTTGAATAATGATTCATTGGGAGAAGTTCGACTAATGGACTATCGAGATTATCAACGATTCAATGTGTAATGTTAAATATATGTCATTTCAGGTGAAGCATAGATGTTGGTGAAATGCTTGTGAGCAAAAAATGAGATTAGAAATGTAGAGTTAACAAATACTACTAAGATGAACTAAATATCATTGTTGAAAATCACCAACAAAGCTAGAATTATTTTGTATAAATGGCATATAATAATATATTCGTTTAATCCTTGTGGTTAAAAATTTTTCAACAGATAATCAAATATAATGAAATTTCAAACAACGCATTCATCTCTTAGTCTCTTTCGCAACTCGAAAGTCATCATGACAGGGTCAATTAACTGCTCCAAATATACTACCATGTCATGACGCATTTCGAGTTGTGTGCATGCAGAATTGTCTTTTAAAGCTATAATTTAATACAGTTCAACTGTAAAATTTTCAAAACATGTAAAAATTTCAATTCGTTCACGATATATCAGGCTCATAATCAACATGAACTAATTAAAAAGAATACGAGCTCACAGGACGCCGAAAACTACAGGTCAGATCAATACAATTCCCAGTAAACTAGTACAACAGTGTCTCAGATTGAGCCTGACGATTTCACTATATCGATACTCACTACTAATTCCTTGATTTAAAGAAAAACCAAACAAGAAGATAAAAGTTTTTGCTTAAGACTGTTAGGATTTTCGGAAGCTCGAATTGACAACCGGAACGGTTTGTAAAGAGGGGTCGGAACGGTTTTGTGTTTAGGGAGTAAGGAGATTGAAAGATAGAGAATTGCACAGCGATTTATAGTGGTTCGACTTTCTCAATCAAAGTCTACGTCCACTACCTTAGCTCCTCACCAAGGATTTTCCAACAAATTCACTAATTTGTTCTTTCTTTTGAGGATAAAGAGTAACCTTACAAACTCCCTAGTTTTTCCGGGCTAAACTAGAACCTTTCCCCTAGCTTTTACACGGGATTAGCTAGAACCTTTCCCCTTTACAAAAGGATAAAATAAGTAAACAAGAAAACCTCTCTAAGGTAGGTGTTTACAAGATTGAGCTCACAAGAACAAAATATTTACAAGAGAAAGATGAAATAAGATTGAAAAACTCTTCTCTTGTGTTTGATTGCTTGGATAATTGTTCTCTACCTTCTTCAAGTGTCCTCAGCTTGTATTTATAGCTTGGAATGAGTTTGAAGTCGTATATAGCCGTTGGGGATGTTTTGGAGCCGTTTGGGAATGATTTTTCTACTCAAAAAGACTGCCCAGAATGGGGGGAATCGGTACCCCTTCATAGGGAATCGATACCCCTTCATAATATTCAAATATTATGACCGTTGGGCTGATGAACAGTGAGGGAATCGGTACCCCCTTGGGGGGAATCGGTTCCCCTTTTACAAACTGGAATTTTTGAGCCTCGGGTTACTGTTCAAATAGTGATTTACTGTTCAAATAGTAATTTACTGTTCAAATAGTAAATTACTATTCATAAAAACATTTTTGTGCTCAATTTTAAATTAAAAGAACTTTGAATTATTTTTGTAAATTTTGAATAAATTCAATTAAGTCCAAAAACATTTTGTAAATTCAATTCAAGTCCAAAAATCATTTTGTAAATTCAATTCAAGTCCAAAAAACCATTTTGCCTTAAATTGTTATATCGAAACATAGTTCAACAAAGACCCTCTTTCACTTCTATTCTGATGGACTGAATATATCTAATAAGGAGTACTAAAAGTTTTGATTAAGAAGAAAGAAAGAAAATTAGATGGTTTTGGTTCAAAACTAACACTGAATGTCCATATCATTGATATGTAGTTTCAGAAACAAAAAAATTTCAACCAAAAACAATAATGCGAGCTGAAAATGGGAAAGTGAGAAAGAGGAAAAACTTACTTCCGGATAGCTCAAAAGAGAAAATAAATACCTTCTTGCAAGTGAGGGGAGAGGCTAAGAAATAAACGCAATTGGTGTTGAGTTCCAACAATTTTTCCTCCATTTTTATTTGTAAATAAAAAGCTGAAAGACAGAGCACTGCTTATGTTTACAATTTTACATGGCGGAAAATTGAAGAACAAAAACCAAACGATAGTGCATGTAAGCGAAAGAGACTGAGAGGTGAATGCGCTGTTTGAGATTTCATTATATTTGATCATCTGTTAGAAAATCTTTAACCACGAGGATTGAACGAATAAATTATTATATGACATTTATACAAAATAATTTCAGCTTTGTTGGTGACTTTCAACAATAATACTTAGTTAATCTTAGTAATATTTGTCAACTCTGCATTTCTAACCTCATTTTTTTCTCACAAGCATTTCATCGAACATCTATGCTTCACCTGACATGACCTTTATCTAACATTACACCTTGAATCGTTGATAGTCCCGATAGTCCCTTAGTTAGGTCTTCTCTTAATGGACACTTATTCAAGTCATCACCTCCACATAATTCAAAGTTAGATTAGAATTCCCTTGCATCACCGACTGAAAAGTTACGTTAGAAATGAGAAGAGAGAAGCGAAAAAAGAAATTAGAGATCAGAAAGGAATTTAGGGTTTAGAATGAAATTGATGATTGTGTTGTAAGTTTTAAAAGTTGGGAGACCTAAATGCAAACGTCTGAAAAGTTCAGTGACCATATTGCAAACGTACTAACGACATTGTAACGTCGGGGGACCATATTGCAAACGGACTAAATGTTGGAGGACTGTATTGTAAGTTTTAAAAGTTAGTGACTTAAATAAAAGTTTTAGAAAAGTTCAGTGACTATTACTATACTTTACCTTAATAATAATAATAATAATGGTAAAACGGAAAAAATGATTATTACACACCTGAATTGATAAAGAAAAATATTGTTTAGACACCGAGAAAAAGTTTATATTAAGCCTATGTTATTGGTACAATAATATATTTCAAATTAAATGATTTTTCATTTCCAATTTTGTACTTATAATTATTCTTAGATATGTAAATGTAAACTTGCCAATAATACAATATTAATTTCACAGTCAATCTAAACCAACTATATTCTTTTTAAATAATGGTAACTAGATTTCATTACTAAAAATAATAGAATGAATCAAATTTATAACGTATCTAAAGAGAAAATTTGAAACAATAATCACAAAAAAACTCATACATAAAATAAAGATATCAAACCCAAATATTCGAAGAAAAAAAGCGAAACCTTCTATTAAGGATGATCACCAAAAGAACCTAGTAACATTCATAAAAACTTAGTCTTTTTTAAATGAGACACTTTACGAAGTGATAAAGGAGTGACGAGTGAACCAAACAATTTGACAAATTACTTCTTTACACAATTATGATTATACCGACAAATAATATTTTATGAAAGAGGATATATGATAATACGTTACCACTAAAAAACTAATCATAAAACAAATGTTGTGAGAATCTTTGTACAAGCACCAATACGATCACAAATATATTCGAAAACATACCAGAAGCCATAAGTAACATACCACAAAAGCAGAGAAAAAACGTCACAAAAGCATAGAAAAATATGTCACAATGACATGTATTCTTATTTAAAATTTAAAAACTAAAAAATATGACATAATATAAAAAAAGAACAAAAATAATAATAATCATCGACCGTCAACAACCAATATTAAGATTAATGTTGTCGTCTAAACAAAAATCAATTATAATTTATTCCATTTTTTATTTAAGATTGTTTTATTTTTAATCTTTTAAATTTTAAATAATTTTATTAGTTTTTATTTTTTCTTAAAAGTAAAAAAACACTTAAATTTTTTAAAAGAATCAATTAAATATTTTTGACACACCGTATCCATAGTGGATCTCCACGTTAGTATTGTGAACTATCACATTAATAATGTGATCTATTACAATAACACTAGCAACTACCATGTCAGAAATATACGAGTTTTTTAGTCACATTAATTTTTTTTAGTCTAAAGATCATATTTTTTTTTGAATAATTTTTACCGAAGGGAAGAGAGAGAAGAAGAATTTTATTCTTAATTGGTGTTGAATATCAATCGAGAGTTTTTAACTATATTCTCTAGAGATTGTTGACAAATCTAAAGACAAAATCACATTGATTTTTTTATTAGAAGGGCCATAAAGATATAATAATTTTACATTAAATATAAAATTATTATGTTATATAAGGATTTTGTATATATGGTATCACTACAATTACAAATGTTTTCAAATATTTTTTTTAAGATGACTATAATAAGTTATAATTCTTTCGGCAAATATAATTATATATTAAATATAATAACTGTTATTTAGTCAAAAATATATAATATTTTATTAGAATTTTAATTATTTTAAATAAATTAGTTGAACATAATATCCAATATAATAATTTTAAATAAATGATATAATAAAAACCCATACATAAGATAGGATCAAAATGTAATCTAGTGGACCCGAGATTATTAATTTATAAAATGCTTAAGTTTGAATTAGAATTATATTAAAAATAAATTGGTCCAACCTAATAAAAAAACATTAAAAATAAGAAGCTCATGCATGATTAATTCATGCTGTACAAACATTCGATCTTTGGTAAGTTCTGATACATTTACAATCTGTTTTGAATACAAGGCCGTAGGGCAGCCTACTTACAGAAAATCAATTCTAACAACCCTCGTCTCTGTTTATCTCCTAAATCAACAATAGTACAGATACATTTACAGAGGAAATTTTAAGTGCTAAAATCATGTTCCGCATCGACGAACTACTATTACGCACCCTCTTAAATGAAAACAAAATCGAGGGCATCTTACCTTGGTTCAGCCTCGAAAGCTCGAAGAACTTTGGATTGTGTAGCATGATTCAGCAGGTCAATGAGCTAAACCAACAGGAGGTTTGTCGACCAAGGGAACATTGTATCTTTGGTATATTCTAGCCCTGTTGGTCGCCCACCATTGTTCTGCTTGTTTTTCACTGAAACGCCTCCGGCTGCAATCATGAGAAACAATGACCATTGTCAAATGATTTTTCAAAGGAATTTCCGTCAGTTACTTCTCATAAGCTTCCACAATGGTGAACTGTTGTTTGCAAGCGATAGAAGTGATCAACAAAGACTAACAAATATAACAAAAATTAGATTTATGATTAAGAAAAAGACGTATGAGATTTGGTAATAATGATGTTTCTAGACAGAATTTAATGTTTTTTATTTACAGTGCAATTGAATAAGAACCGCATCCGTGAATAACCCTACACTCATGTTTTACTTGCTTAAATAAACAGGGAAGACAATGAGTTCAATAGGAGGCCAATACTGCTTTTTAAGGTATGGAACAGCTGGAATACTATAGAGAGCTAAATACTTGTAACATTCCAATCAGATGCACTTTGGTTGGTTCAATCCCTTTAATTCACGTTCTAATCTTTTTTTCTGGCAATGCAGTTTATTTAGACCGTAAAACTCAGAATTTGGGGAGAAAGTTGGCAGTGGTCATAACAAACCTGAACCGAACACGCTTAAGATCTTTGATACCTCCAGGCAATGCAACAAGGGTAATGTATACACCAGGTTCATCTTGCTCAACCCATTCATCCCCATGGGTGGGTTCAACTTTAGTAGTTCGGTTCCTATTCCTTGCAGATCCATCCGGATGATAAACTTCAGTGCGAGTTGAAAGGTTGTTAGTAATGGATCCTGACCCATTAGAAATCACTAGGCTGTTTGGCCCATTTGAATCTATTTCATGGCAACTCATGGGACCGCCTGATTGGTCACTGCCAGTAGAAGAAACATCCCGAGGAGGAGTTGAGCCAGAATAGCAAAAGGAAGGTGAATTGATGCTTCTTGCTGCTCCCATTGGTAACCTTTCAGCCATATCCTTCAACTTCAAAAGTTAAGAAAACTTGTCAAGCAAAGAAGACAGGTATATGAAAACCTGAAATTTGGTGCTCAAGATTGAACAATAATTAACCAAGCATTTTGCATCTCCACATAGATGCCTTCTAATAATAGTCATGAAAAGTGCATAATTTGCAAGTAAATTGAATTTATGAAGTTGCATACACTTTTGCAATTGTTAAGCTGACTTGGGTTTTAACAAATTTCATGAAGGGAATCATACAAAACAGGCCTGCTAGATACTCAAGCAAGTTACTTTTGTACACTTAGAAGAAGCTTTTTTTCTTTAAGAACTAAATTCCTCCACCCCAACCAAAAGCCCCAATTTAATAGAAACTTTAAGAACTAACATCGAGCATGCATCCTATATTCATGATTGATGTGGCAATAGAGGATCTTGTAAATGTCTAAAATAGTATTGCTAGTGTTAAATATAAGTAGCCAAATTATGGAATTAGATGCTAACGTAGCAAGGCTAATGAGGACATAAAGAACCATTTCGGGATGGTTTTCAGCTTCTCCTATTGATACTATTAACAGATATTTAGTAAGTCACAAAGGGTCAAGGACTTATCGTCTTCGGAAGCATAGATGAATGGCATTTAAGTCCATGTGCGGGACGAAGGTAGGTATTTTAGGGACTTTAACCGGAGTGGGTATAGCATGATAAACTTATCATATGCAGACATTCTTCCATCAAAATCCAGGTCTCTTTGAGCCATAATGAATACTTCAAAAGTTATTAATTTAGCACCCCAGAGATCATTTAGGATTCAACACTTACCAAAGACTATGCACAGCAGCTTACAGGAAGATCAGGTATTCTCAAGTTAAAGAAAATAAAGACTTCTAATAACAATGTTAATAAATAAACAGTTAAAACCCTCCGTAGTAGGCTTTAGGAATGAGTTAATTGACTTACTTGAGCAGTGAGTGACTTTATGACTTCCTTTGCTGCTTTGCATTTTGCAGTTTCTTCTGTTGCTACTGCTATGGCTTCCTTCAGCTGTTTAGTGGTATTTTCCAGCTCAGCTTCCTGAAGTTGTGCTTTGCGAGTAAGTTCCTCAACCTTCATCAGATAGACAAAATTAATTACAGCAAAAAAAACTTAACACGCACATGCATAAAACAAAAGTTGAAAGACTAGAAAACAGTTTAGTTCATTCCATTCTGATATTAAACTCAAGAGCTTGCTATTTATGCTATATTATTATCTTTACAAGCATGAATTTGCATAGAGAATTTATTGAATCTCAAACTATTCCTTTCTTCCACAGCACATTGATAAGTTCTATTAATTGTTAAGGAAAGGGCAGTCGAACTTCGTTGTGTTAGGAGTGTTAACGCGAATGCGGACGAACTAGCAAAAAAAGGAATAGGGTAGAAGAGTGTTCTTTATGGATGTGTATTATTGGGAGGTCTTTTTTGAACTCTGTTTGAATGTGGTCCTGTCTTATTAGGAGAGTTTAAAGGACGATATTGTACTTCAACTTCTTGTATGGATTTAAGATGATAATAAAATCCGAGGTACTCTTTTCCTCCTTCCGCTACTTTTTGGATACTTGGCAGTATTTTGAAAAGCATGAAGGGGTTTTTTAATGAGATCCCTGACTTTTATCAAATAAAAAAAAAAACTAATGTTGGGGAAAAAAAAGAAAGAAACATGAGAACTAATAAGAAAAACACATTTCCCAGCAAACAATTTAAATTGTAAAAATACCTGAGTCCTTAATTTAACAACTTCTTCGCTTAGACCTTCATTTGCCCTTTTAGCATCATCCACAACTTTCTTTGATGAAACTCCTGACAGAGTTGGTGTAGGTGTTGTAGCACGATGTGGGCTGGATCGTCTAGATGTAGGTGATGTTGCTCGAGATACAATTCGTGACGCAGGAAGAGAAGCTGAAAAAAATTTCTTGGATGAACCAAATAGAGCATTTGATGTTTTGGGGTTGTTTTGAGGAGCACATTGAGAAACTCCATTTGGGAAAGGTGAAACTCGAGTACTATTAAAATCCAATCTCTTGTTTCTTGAAGATCCACTGTCGAACCCTTTTGATGATTCAATTGAAGCATTTCTACTAACTTGGGCATGGTTTCTTGAATCCAACCTTTTAACCTCCTCAACGCTGTCATTTGATCCCTGATTCATACTTCCTATTCTACTCAGAGCATAATGATTCGAAGAGCTGGTTTCAGGAGCTTTTGTGAGTTTGGAAAAACAATTATCACAAACACGATAAGGTTTGTTAGTATTTGGTGCCATGGAAGCCTTAAAAGACTTCTTACTGCTGCATGCATTGCAGAATACAAGCCCACAATTATAACAGTTATGACGTTTTCTTTTGAAATTAAACAAAAGACGGCAGCCAGAACATTTTGATTGATCAACACTGGACACCGATTTATGAAGACAGATAACTGCAGTAAAACTTGTACCACAAACAACACTCTTAACCTGTTTATCTTTTAGAGCTTCAACAAGAAATGGAGAACTTCTATCATCTGTATCCCCATGACCTAACTGTCCATTTGCACCCTTTCCCCAAGTGTAAACTTCAGTTTTTGAAGTTAAAGCAGCAACATGGTAGGCACCACAAGATATTTCTTCAACAAAATTCCTTGCGAGCTTCCCCTCGACACGGATAGGAAGTTTTCCATCAGCTTGAGGATTCCCCAATTGCCCATAAACAGGGCTTCCCATAGCATAGACATGCCCATTTGTTGTAAGCGCAATAGTCATGCTATGACCACAGGATACTTTGCAAAAGATAGGCTCAACCAGAGCAGCAACACAAGTCGGCACTAATCTAGCTTCTTTGTCACCATGGCCGAGACGACCTTTATCTCCATCCCCCCATGTAAAAAGCTTTCCTGAAGAGCAATTACTGGTGCTTGGAGACCCAACCATAACTTCAACAACAGCAGCAGTGTGCCAAACACCACATGCTGCTCGGACAGTGCGTAGGCCCTTGAGGGATTCCACTTCCCTGGGTACAGATATGCTTTTACAGTCACCATGTCCCAGAACACCAAATGTTCCATCACCAAAAGTAAATAACTGTCCAGCAGAAGTTACAACAGCTGTGTGCCATGGTCCACAAGACACCGATGAAACATGTATTCCCTCCAAAGGTCCATTTAGTTTCTTTGGAACCCATTGACTTGCTTCACTCCCATGACCAAGTATACCAAAATTGCCCGAGCTACCACCCCATGTATACATTTCACCAGAAAGCGTTACAGCACAAGAATAATACTCTCCACATGCGACAAGTTCAACATTTATATTTTTAAGAGAATCTACAAGTTTCGGATGGGAGACATTAGAATCCACACCATGCCCCAATCTGCCACCAGCTTCCACTCCCCATGAGAAAACCTCTCCTTGCTTGGTTACGAGAGCAGAATGTTGCCCTCCACAAGCTATGTTCTGAACATCCAAAAGAACTGCAGATTCCAAAGGTTTAGGCAGAAGAGCATCTATCTTAATACCACTACAATTTCCAGTTCTATGTATTCCTCCACCTAACACACCATCACCGGTGCCTTCACCCCAAATAAAAACATCACCTAAAGCATCACCATCATAGTGACCAGACCCCTGACTTGATGAACTAACAGCACTAGATAAACTAACCCTGTAAGCATCCTCATTCAAGCCTTTCATGTACCCAGCTGCTCCATCTGAACCTACTGACGACAGAGAATGGGTTGATCCACAAGCAGGTTCTGAAGGATATAACGCTTTGGGGGGCACAGAATACAATATTACATCAGACAATGCCTTCTCTAAACCGGTTCTAGGAGGACTCTCGTGCGGAGTGTGAAGGCGAAGGGAATTCATCCCATCCTATATCAGGAACAAGAGAATTCTCTCATTAAATATATAAAAGATAGAAGTACACGACAGAAAATGGAAGGGGGGAAACCTTTTGTGAACTACCACCGCTACCAAATGGCGAGCTCAGAGGTGAACTTCTTCTGGTATGTTCTTTAGAACTAGTTGCTTCAGACGAAATTCCATCCCTTCTAGATTCAGGTCTTCCTTTCCGGTTATGACCACGTGATATCAATGCCTTCAGACCTGTAAACCATACTTCTGCTTCATCTTTATCCTTGCAAATCTGGTGCAAAAGAGAAGTTGGGTCATGAACTATAAAAGATTTTCATCCAACAAAAACTTGGTAATTAATTTACAATGCAATGGTTATGCATGCATAGAGAAGAAAAAAAACTAGAAGTTAGGCACAAGTGGGCAACTCTATGTCAAGGGAAAAAATGAAATGCTTACCAAATCAAGTGATCTCTCATTATATATAAGGGAAAACGATTGGTATTCTTTTTCAGGCCGAGGACACCTCTGAAATATTGGCTGCAATGAGCAAAAAAGAAAAAAACGATCAATAAAATTCAAATCACCAAAGAGTTTCTAATTTGCATTTCTTGTTGCCAGAACTAAAATTGGAATTCAATTAATCAACTCCGGGTTAAAATAACAGAAGAGTCATGCAACTGAAACATGTACGCTACAATTATGAATGCTGATGAGATGGTTACACGGTAATATACCTCAAGCACCCCATTTTATTAAAATCTTTACAAATTCAGAATTTTCGTAGTAAAAGATACAAGCACGCCCCTTGAAATTCAGGAAAAGAAAACTCTCGTTCAACAATATTTAAAAACAATAACCTTAAACATTGCAACCATTATTGCGGAGAATCAGTTGAATTTATGCAGGCTTAGTCTTTAATGTTTGATATAACTAAAAGACACATGTAACAACAAAAGTAAAGAAAAGATTGACAGGGATAAACTTACAGTGCGCTGACCAGGTATAATTCTGGAGACTTGGTTTAGTTTAAGGTATTTTTCCTCTTTGCCAGAGATCCATATTAGAACAGATTCATCCTGGAAAAAACAAGGTAAAGACATGTGGTAAATGAAGTTTTAGGCTACAGTAGGTTTCCGATGCATACATCAACAAGATAACTGTTCTCGCAGGAAGGAACAAAAGAAACGAAATACAACCAGCAAAATTCAGTGTAGACATATTACTGTAGTCTCCTTGCAACTGGTCATAACAAAACATCATGCACAAGCAGAAAAAATGCCATTACCAGATGAGCACATTTGAATTGCCTCACATATTTTTCCCAGGAAAGTAACATCCAATCAGTAACAAAAAACATTTTAAGGAAGCCACCTGAGAGACTGAGACTGTTCTTCCCTTTTCAAATAGTATTACCTTTTTCTTCTAAATACTATTACCTGGATTTTACATATCTGATTTTAGTCTGATAATTGCTTTCACTCAACAAAATTGACACGTAAAGCTTCTTCAAAATATAGTAAAAAGAAATACCAACAGATAAAAGTTATGTGAGACAGCAATTCCAGCAAGTCTTGAAGCCCTCATAAGGAGTCCCTTCATCACAAGTTTGATGGTCACTTCCAATTTTTCATTGCTTCAATGATACAGCAACTTACAAAATCTCCATGAATAATTTCCATATTTTTTTCACTTATGCCTTTACATATAACTGTTGCAATGTTACTTATAAGACGGAATTCAACCCAATTCTAAGGCTTTCTAGGTAGGAAGGATTAAAAGGTTTTTTATCTAATAATTAGGTTTCATACTTTCATTGTCACTTTCCTTCTTTGAGTTTACCCATTGTATTAAAATTGAGCCTTTTTTCCTCACAACCAAACATTGCCTAAGTACCCATATGCATACACCACAGATCTGATGGAATCATGGAACAATAAAAAACTTAAGGGCTGCAACTTGTAAGCAACATAAGCCCCGAGACTTAGTTAATGAGAAACCAGCACTGGTTAATACAAGAAAATAGTTGCCCAAAAGTGTAAATTCAAAGCCACCATTTTGTTAGGAGATACCTTCCTTGCAAGTCTTACGCAAAGGAAGCTCAGGTGATCATCACATACGACTAGACTTTTATAACCTTTTCCACCAAGCTTTATGAAATTCTAGGTATCAAGACTTCTAAATCAAGTTTGTTAAATTTTATTCAGTAAAATAATCATGCTGAGGTTGCTAAAACAATCCTTTTACTTTTAGTAATCTGATATCTGTTGAACCAATATGCATAAAACATATTACAGCTATTCTATCATTGAGAAGAGATCATTTAACACCCCATCCTGGTATAGGTATATACATAAGAAATTTCTGTTTGCTTTCAGTAGAATGACAGCTTCTAAGACATCTAACTTCCCCAAAAAGTAATAATGATCAACTTTTCCAAAAGCTCCATCATGACACATTTTAAATAAATAGTAAGCCAGAGGCAGAGCTCATTGCATTCAAAGATGACTTTTACTAACAGTAAAGATGGTTAATAATTGCAGATTTATTAACAGAAATATATGCATCTTCAAAGGCAGTCAATCTTACATTGGACAACCGGAAGGGGCAAAATTTGGGTTTTCCTCTACGACCATATTTGAGCAATGGCGCACCTTTTTTAAGGGCAGTGATGGCCTGTCGTAAACGTAAAAAAAATGAATTAAGACATAGAATCCAACTTGAAAACTGAACTTCATATCAAAAAGAAAAGATTTCCAGTTGTGGATATATATAAGAATTATAGTAAAAAAAAATATAAACACAATGAATTTCAGCCATTAACTTAAATCAGAAAGTTCACCAGAAACCAAAAACAATAATACTGGTAGAACATCTCAACATTTCAGTGAAGTTTTGGTTTCATACAGAATGTAAGAGAAACAATATTACTGTACATCAGATTTATTTCACCCTGATGCTCCAGCTAAGCTATGGCTAATTATGACAGTTAATCTCGACATTATTCAATAGTAACAATTTTGATGATCTATTTTATAGGTTCCTCAAGTGAGGCACTGTCATCAGGTTCTATCTTGTGCGTTTTAAATACAGCCACATTTACTAATCATATGTATATTCTCTATCTTAGTTACCATTTCTTCTAGAAAATCTTCTAGCATATAGGGGTAACATCCCTGACACTCAAATGCTGGCACACACATATATAGAAACTCGAGCTTTTCCCTTTCCATTATAGCAAGTAACAATTATTCCACCAACCACAATCCGAATAAAAAATGAAAAAAAAAATTCCCAATTAACAGCATGCTTAACGGTTCTGTATCTGAAATCTAGACAGCATTTCAACTAGTAATAGCAACAACAATTTTATATGTTCTACATTGTCACTATACATGCTAAGCCGTTAGAAAAGAAGAAAGTAACAGCATAATTCACTCTATATAGCAATATACCAATCGATTTCCTTTTACAATTAAAGGATTCTAAGAAAAGATCGAAGTACAAAGGTTTACCAACTCAATATCCCTCTCTGGTACATCCGTCGACCTCAACTGCTCCGCCCTGACCGCAGCCATCATTTCCGACTAACAATAGATTCCTTCAACCATACTCAGGTCCATCACTTCCCCAAAATGCACCCGCGCACACATGATCAAAACCGCATTAAACCGTTTCAAGCAAACCCTAACTCGATCGCAGCTAAGCTAAACCCGCGTTCCACGTCGGCAACAAACTTCAAGCAAAATCAAAACTAAAAAGAAAAAGAAATTTCCTTCAAAAATCAACTTCTTTTCATCCAACAACTAAAATAGAGCTAAAATCGAAAAGAGACAAAGAAATACAGAAACTATTGAATCATCTTTAGGAAAAACCTAAGTGGGGGATATGGGTTTCTAGGTTCTTGAAGCAAAGAGACAGAGAGAGTAAAGCTGGAAAAAAGATTAAAAAATGGTGGGAAACCCTAAGATTCTCTTTGTCCTTTGGCTTTTAAGGTAAGGTCCCGTTTGGTTTGAGGGATTCTTTTTCGAGAAAATGAAGGAAAATGCGAAGGGAAAACGGAAGTATCAGCTGGAAAAAAAAAACAAAGAGACATTAGTGGGGAAGGAAGCGAGCTCAGGCCTCAAAGTGTAGAGTGAAAGGGGAAAGAATCTGATGGAAAAGTTTGTTGAAAATGATTGATTCGTTTGGTTGAAGTGCCTTTTCAACTTGTTGACATTCACTTTTTAAAGTAAACCCACCAATCATCTTTTGCCACGTCATGTATAAACTCAATTCATGCACATTTAACATTTTTGTTTTTAATATAAAATTTATAATCACTACAAATTATTCTATAGAAATTGAAACTTTCTATTGTTGCTTCTCTCCATACGTATAAAATTGTTTAATATTTAGTATTTTTATGAGTAGATTTTTAGATCGATGAGTTAATTGGTTTTGGATTCGGATAATTTAAGTTTAGAAAATTTTCCAGTTATTATGTGTTTAAATCACTTTAAAGTTTAGGTTATTTGAATTTGAGATTTAATTTTTTTTCGAATCAATACATTATAAAAATAAATTATTTTATAATCATTTTTTTATTTATCATGTTAATTTTCATCTTTCAATTATTATTTTTAATTTTAAATTATTTTGAAATCGAATTAATTTAATTTAAAGTCAATTAACGTTTAAATTCGATTATTTATGTTCGTTGAGGATGATGTCTTTCATAGTGTGACTTATTTTTTAAGCACTAAAAAATGTTGTCTATTTTTAACACGGTCACTTTTATGCCCGTTCCTAAAAAAATTAATCTCAGTCATATGTGAGATTATAGACTTATCTCGTGCAGCAACATTGTCTATAAATGCATAATCCGTATTATGATGGCTAGGCTAATGAAGTTTGTGCTTGAAGTTATTTCAGATAGTCAAAATACATTCATTTCATACCAAAGTATAATAGATAACACCCTTATGGCTTAAAAGTTAATCAATCACATACAATTTAAATTTCTTTGATCTGATAATTTTCAGCGGTATGTTGTCCTGCCCCTTGCTTACTCGGCTTATTCCTCGCATAACTTTAAACCTACGTGTGAAAACTATCACACACTAAGTTTATGACTTAATGAGGCATTATGAGCAATATAAAACAATAAAACATTTATAGAAATTTTACAAAAGAAATATTAAGTACAAACACCACAAGTTTTATAGCTTATAACATATCTTATTAAACATTGATAACTTTATACTCATGTTACTTTTACTTATACATTTCATATCATTAACACATAGACTTTTAGACAATATAAAATTTATAACCAATTTTCATTTCATATAACTACATTTAAATCCAGTATCGATGTTACTCCTTCGACATCGATATTGTATTAAGGTTCATAAAATTTTACCTTATGGTATTGATACTATTATTCCAGTATCGATACTCAAATCCAGTTTCACCTATTTTTTCTTTGAAATATCGGTATTGTTCATCCAGTGCCGATACCCTTGCTTAGAAAATACTCATTTCAACTCGAAATTTGACCAAAACTTATCTTAATTCCACACTGTTAACTATTTTCAAGCCTTTAAACTCCACTACCCTTAATAAAACCAACTTAAATCACTTTAACACATCTAAACATCCAAAATCCCACATAATCACTTGAAACTAAAAATCATCCCAATTATTCAACTTTTTTCTTAATCATTTCTAACATCTTAAACTTCTTATTCTAACTAATGACAAGTCAAATATTACTTCAAAATCCAGTTACTAATCATTTCTCATCAATTCTCTCAAAAACCCTCTTTACTTAATCACCCATAACTTATCTATCTTTTAGTTTCTACTTCTCTTTAAGCTTTCTCAAGTTTCTCTATACCCCAAGCATGAAAACCAAATCAAAATTACAAGAAATAGCTGACTGAAAATTTCTTACCTTAGCCAAGCACTCACGGTGGAGAGGAGAAAGAAAGGATGAAGAAAGAATTCTAGATTTCTATGTAACTCTTCCTTTCCTTTATCCATGTGTATATAATACACCACTTAAGGAATTTTTAATTCATTTCTTGTCTAATGACCATTATACCCTCCCATCTTTCAATCTTTGCTAATCAATCATACACTAATAAATTCAAAATAAATCCCTGAACTTTTTTAATTTATCAAAATTGATCACAAAGTTTTAAAATCTTACACTTTAGTCACTAGCCCGGTTTTTGGAGTGTTACAAATAACTTTATGATGATAAATATAAGCCCATTGTATGTTGCATTGAGAGTCGTAGGTACATTTGACATGCCATTAAGTGAGTACTTATCAGTTCAACTTTGGTACATTAGTGTATCAATGTTCAGTTATCAGTTCGACTTTGGTACATTTGTGTATCAATGTTCAGCACCGTTGGTGCACATTTAGGTTATGATTGCACTGAAGTGTGTCATATCTCAGTTTCAGTTATGATTTGACACCATGTTGTGTCTAGTGCTCACCTTAAACTCGCGTACCTTATATTCTCTTACATATACATTGGGCTATAACAGTAAATGTGAAAGTTATGATAGTATATAAAATAAAGAACATAGAATTGAAAAGGAAGTTATGAAATATGTTCAAATGATAGGAACAAAAGCTATTTATGATATTTAATGATAACTTACATGATTTTTTTTATAAAATCATGAGATGATGATTTTCAGGTTTTTCAGACGGAAAAACGGCTTGACTATCCCGATTTAAAGTTTAATGTTCTTCTTAAATTACAAATTTTTCTTATATTTTATGAAATTTATGTTTTATATCACTTCAGTTATATTTCTGCCTCACTAAGTTATACTTAGTGGTTGATGGTTTTCGTGTATGTGTTTGAATAAAGTAGAGGTCGTGAAGTGAGAAGCTTGCCAACATCTTATGCAAAATCAAACCTAACAACAATATCAGTAAGACATCATAACTTTGACTTATTAGTGACATGTACATTATATTTGTTGGGTTGCTTTATCAGATTTATTTAAAAGGGTTTGTAATAGTAATTAGGATTATTTTCTTTAGTTTTATCTAATTTTAGTATTAATCGTATTTATGAGTGATTAGTATAAATGTTATATTTTAAATGATTTAAAACCAAACGATATTAGGCAGTTGTGTTCGATTATGAAACAACAATGAACTGCCTACTTACTGACTGAAATCATAATAGTTATCAATGATCAAATAATATTTTATAAATTTATATGATTAAAAAAATGTTTTTAAAGTTATAAAGTAAATTATTAAATGAAATAAAATTTTAAGCATTTAAATTCAATAAAAATCAGTTGAGTTGATTTGACATCTGTAATTCGTATTACTAGATATATGTGTTATGGTGTTAAAAAAAACCAATTATGCTGAAAGTGAAGAATGTAAGAAAAAGCGAGATGCTGTGCTATTTGATTGGAAACCTGGTGCTTGATTTTGCTGACCGCATTTGCGAGTTATACGAGGATATCAAGTTTGATTTCAAAGGGCATGGTATCGAACCCGAACAAACAGCCAATGATTTGGGGTTCCAGGATGGAGATATGTAGACGCATTTAGGGTGCTGATTGTGAGAGTAGAAAGATGACTTTATCTTCTTGTTTTGGTTGCACTTCCTTTTGAGTTTATCAGCTAGGGCCTTAGGACCTTACTAAGGGACTCCCGTTTTCACTTCATACGTTTGTTTGCTTTTTGTCGAGATTAATGTAGCAGTCATAGCATATGGTTGTTATCTTTCAATTGCAATCACAATGTGGAATAGTCTAATTTTTGTGGGGAAATGCCAGTAAGAACTCCAATGTCATGTTCGATTAGTTACAGATAATTTTGTCAGTCTCGAAAAACCTAACCTCGAATAACATTAATACTCCATCAAACCGGGTGTTATCTTTCAATTCCACTCTTCCGTATATGAAAATGCTGAATTTGATAAAGATGATTTGTTTCTTCGTACTCAAGGATACCATATTATACTCATGTTTTACTACTTCATACCTGAGGATACCAAATTTTGAACAATGGCACTCATTCATACCCCAGGATGTTGGATTTTTTTGAAGACGATCTACTCCTTTGTACTCTAAAATGTTAGATTTTGAGGATAGCTTGCTCTTCCAACTTGAGAAAATTAGGCTTTCAATGATAAATGAATCGCTCCTCCAACTTAAAGCAATGAGAAATGTCTTATTTCCCTAACTTGAGTTAATGAGACTTTGAATTAATTGCTCTTTTAACTTGAGGAAGTGAGACTTTGAATGAATCGTTTCTCCAACTTGACATGGTGAGAGATGTCTTACTCTTTTAACATGAGGAAATAATACTTTTAATGAATCGCTCCTCCAAATTGAAATGATGAGAAATGTCTTGCTCCATTACTTTGAAGCGATGAGATTTTGAATGAACCATTCCTCCAATTTGAAGCAGCAAGAGATGTCTTGTCCCTTTAAGTTGAGGTGATAAGACATCTAACGATAAATGAATCACTCCTCCAACTTGAACCGGTAGGAGATGTCTTGTCCTTTCAACTTGACGGCTCTTGCATAAGCAAGCAAGCAAAGAATGCGTTTGGAAAGTGAATTCAGATTCTTAATTCATTAGGGGATAGATAACTTTCATGCTTTATGACAAGTAAAGAATGCCTCTGAGAATTGAATTCTGATTCTTAATTTATTATCATAACATTCCTTTTTTCCTGCAACTTCAAAGCTATTTAAGCCATAAGAAACTGACAACCAAATCAAGCATTTTCGAGAGAAAATAAAATGAGTAGGAACCAGAGGATAAGAACAACTCAATCGACTTTAATCATTTTTCCAAAGTCCGAGGAACAAGTTGATGAAAAGAGGGTTCTTCTCAAAATCCAGGGCGATGCCGGTCAATATTACTATTGGACTGGCCCGAGCACAAGGCTGGCCGAACTGCTGATGGACTATACTCGTCGCCTTGCTATCTCGATTAACTCCGTGAGTTTTCTTTATAAACATGTATATATTCCCATACCTGTCCGTTCCAGTCTATTTTTTAGATCCGGCAGACGGAGATTCGATGATGTTATCCGAAAAGATAATATGATGAACACATGGTCGCAAAAGGATCCAAGACGACTCTGATCTCATTGCCCCGGGCGGAAGGGAGAGACCGATCTGCCTGCAAGTGGAGTGTGTAGGAATGGATGGTAACTTGGCCTATCTGATCGGCCAGAAAACTCCGCTAGTAAACGCATTTCGTGACTATACCGACCGCACGTTTCAATTTTATGATTGCACGAAATTTCTCGGTACTCGAATCGGCTCACATTTAGATCCGAAGAAAACAGCCGATGATTTGGAGCTGGAAGATGGAGATATCATCCGTGCAGAAACATTTTTCGAGTTGCCGACGATAACGTGTGCGATACTGTGATTGATATGCTCATTTGCATGACAAAGGCCATTGGAATACCATGAGTATGTATCATCTGTTAACTTTATATAGTGTAATTATACACAACAGCAAAATAATAAATAAAATTAATATCTTTTAGGTTTGTAAATGAAAATTTTAATCAATTCAGTAGGATTAAATGTGATAATTACAATTTTTTGGTCTTTGGATCAGTGAGGGGAGAAGAGATTTTACAAATTTAAACGAAAAAGTGTGAAAAAAAATAAAATTTCAACCATCACAACAAATAAATAAAAGAGAACAGAAATTAAAAATTCATAGGAAATATATAAAAAATAGAAAAAATCAGAAGAAAAGGAAATTTAGAAAAATAAAAAGAAACTATCATCACTACAATCCAAGGGTGATGCTGAATAAACAAATTAATTTAATCAACTAAAATGAGTTTTAAAAAATTATAAATTCACATTTAAACAATAGTAGCCCTAATTATTAGAGGTTACAAAATAGTTATTCGAATATAGGATATCGCTTTGTTGAGTCTACTGACTATGAAAAATTAAAAAAAGATTATTCGACTATAGGATATTGTTTTGTTCAGTCTACTGATTATGAAAAACTAACTCTCCAAAATTTCATCTGATTTGTTTCACTGTGTTATATTGTGATCATGTAATCGTGAAGTTATGATCTTTAGACGTTGCAATATTAATATTATTAATTAATTCAATATTAATATTTAATTTTTATTTAAATTAAAGTGGTTCTAGTAATAAAAGAAATGATTGAACCTATGGAGTATCTGTATTTGTAGAGTGATTGTTTTTTGTTAATAAATTTAAAAAAGTTTTAAAAAGATATTACTTGTAATCATTTTAAATTATTGTAAAAATAAACTTTCATTTAAATCGAACTTATTGAGTGACCTTAATAGTTGGAGAATGTTATTTTTCTTTGTCGATAGGTTAAGAAACATTATAAATAGATATTATCTTATAATCACTCAAATTATTAAAAAAACTTTCATCTATATTATGAAAAATTAAATATTTGATACAAAGAGCAAGCACATTTGGTAAATTAACTAATTTGTTTATCTTTGTTATTTTACATTCTTTTAGATTATGGATTCTAATTTTAAAATCTTAAATCCTTTAAATTTTAAAATTTAACTCTATAAACTCAATTTAATATAATCATGTGAAAACTAAAATTTACACGTCTTGTTTATTGAATAATCTATTAATTTTTTTATAAAAGAAAATTGTATATTATTAAAAAATTTCCTTACCAAAAAACGCAATCTAAACAATAGAAAAGGAAAAATACAATAATTATTATGAAAGATAAACCAAATACACGATACAGTGCCATGACAATATAAAAGGAGCAAATCGATATACAAATTGGTTTGCATAAAAAAGATTTCAAATTTTGCTTATGTTTAATTTTTTTTGGTAGATTATATCCACATTACACCGAAAATTCGTTTATACCATTAAATTTTTAATTTTGTCAATTTTAGTATTAATGTCTATTTTTAAGTGCAATTATACCATTTTGCCATTAGTAAATTAATAGGACAATGATATCGTAACTGTATGCCGTTATTAACGTGGCTGCCTCACCAAAACGTCATTTGACACGACTGTTTTAATACTCAAAAAGCCTAAAATGATGTGATTTTATTAAAATCATTTGATGAAAAATTACTTTCAGTTGAATTTGAACAATACTTCTTTATGAAGTAATGCTAGACAATAACCAGCAAATTAACCTAAAAATTTATTATATTCTTAACAAAACTAATAAATATGTTAAATAGTAACTTGGATTAATATTATTTTTAAGATTATATTATTTTATAAATATTATTTTCTTAATTATCATCCCACCAACAGCACATTTAATAGTAGTTCCTTTGCCTATTGGGTAATTTGGGTTATATTCTGAAAGCATTTGTTTTTGTTTTGCTTTCAGTTTGATTGTAGCCTTGATTGAGTTTCTTTTGTAGTAGACTATGTTCTCTTTTGGATAATAAAATTGTAATTATCCAAAAAAAATATTAAATAAATGATATTAATTCAAACTATTATTTAACATATGTGTTAGTTATGTCAAGGATATAACATATGTGTAGTAGCCTTGATAGAGGATTATAATCATAATAAATCTCTACGACATATTTGATACCTATAAAAAAACAATTTCATTCCCATATAAACAACACCAATATGAGATACTATGGCTAACTTATTTCTAAAAGACAAAAAAGTCTTTATTTTTCAACAGACTTAGTAACAGCACCTAATGAGGGGGGTTCCAAGAGTAGCAAATTTCATTAAAAACCAACAAACAGGGACCATGGGGCCTCACTTTCCACACGCACCGATTGCAAAAAGCTTGGTCCCTGAACTGAATGTAAATGTCGAACCAATGGCTCTTGCCACCCCATTGCATGGTGCAGAAAAACAAGGTGTTCCTCAGAAAGCTCGGTCGAAAATGGAACTGGAAGTAGTGGCCGTAGGCGATATGTTGGACGCCGACATCGTTGTTCTTCGATTTGCAGTGGATCGTGAGCATTGTGCCAGGGTTCAGATCATTGTAGATCACTACATGCGCTTTGCGCGGCAGAATTCGTGCTTCGGTCACAACGAAAAGCAGCGTTGAAGAGAGCAACAAGTTGAGCATGGAAGTCTTCATGTTTGCTTTTCTGATGGTTAGTGAAACGGCATACAACTGTAGGGTATGATGTTTAGTATATATAGATATAAGTAGGAGTAGGAGTAGGATAAGGTGTATTGAATTTTGAATTATGTCCAGTTAATATTTAGTAAATATTTTTGTTGTGATTTATACGTATAATCTTTTTAAGATTTTATGGAGTCGGAATTTGATGTTTGACTCTTTATTTGGTTGTTGGTTAAGCTTACTTTTGTTTAAATTTGTATATATGGATTATTATTGAAAAAGGAGAGAAAGCTTTGTATATAACATTTGGATGATGTTATTGTTAAGTGTGTTTATAAATGTTTTAAAATTTAAAAAAAAACGAAACATTTAATATCATTTAAATCAACATACTCAAACGTGAACATAATATTATTGTTAATTTATTTGATTTTAGGTATATATAATTTATTTGAAAGCTTAATTTTTTATCTTTGTAATCGATTATACTTCCTAAGAAATATATATTACATACAAATGGCCCCAAATTTCATACTTTTGCCTCCAAATAGCCTCCCATTTCCAGTTCCTTCCCCTCATCACTAATTGCTTGATCATTATTTTCCACTTTTTTATAAACAAAACCCTTAGTAATCCACATATAAACACACAGATTAGCCCCACTCAAACCGGCCAATACCCAATAAAAGTAATTAAGATTTGCCCGGTTCATGTTATCTCCCAGCCATTCATCCCCATGCCTTGAAGTAATGGCTTGAACCACCGAGATTATGGCTGTGTTTACAAAGCTCCCAACTCCCACTACACTTATATACGCAGCTGCTCCGATGCTTCTCATTTCTTCCGGCATTTGGTCGTAGAACAGTTCTTGTAATCCGACGACTGTGAAGACGTCACCGATCCCAGTGAGTACGTATTGTGGAATTAACCACCATATGCTCATCGGGACTATGGCTTTCGGGGTGTCGAGTAGGCCGTTCTTGCTCGCGGTGTTTACCCTAGCCGTCTCTACTAGGCCTGCGACAACCATGGTCATTATGGAAATGAATAGACCGGTGCCGATTCTTTGCAGCATTGTGATTCCGCAGGGATGTCCGGTTATTTTTCGAGCGATGGGGACTAAAACCTGATCATAAACCGGGACGGCGATGAGGATTGTGAGGCCGACGAGGCTTTGGAGTGCTGCAGGGGGGACTTGGAAATTGGGACCTATTGATCTCAACATTGTGGCGCCTTGCTTGGTGAAAAATGTGTGTAATTGGGTTATCACGGCACTAAACATTAAGCAAGCAAGCCATATGGGGATGAGGCGAAGTACAAGCTTTACTTCCTCAACTTGGTTCAATGAACATAGCCGCCATGGATCCTTGGTTCTGCTCATGCAATCCTTGTTGTCAATGATCATTGCCTTATCCAAAAATCTGCATTTTCAAGAAATATAGTAAATAAATCAAGCTTGAATAAATGAAATACTATATAAATTACATTTATTCTGACTTACATAATAAAAAGTCAACAATTTAAATATAAATGATTTAAATCAGAAATGACTCGAACTTGAAATGAGTTGAACTTAAAGTAACCCAAATGACTTCAACTTGAGGTTACTTAACTCAAGATAACTTATCTAACGAACCAAAATGGTTTGAACTTAAAAAAACTGAATTTAATATAATCTGAAATCAAAATGCTCCGAACATAAAAAAAAATGCAAAAAATTTAAATCCCGAATCAAACTACTTAAATTAACTATATCCAAAATCAATATAACCTATTCATGAATGAAATTTTAAAATAAAATTAATATTTTAAACCCCATATGTAAAGAGTAAAATACACAAAGGATCCCCTGACTATAGTCTCCAAACCATTAAAAGTTACAAAATAGTTGTCCGACAACATGATGTTGCTTTGTTAAATCCTACTATTAAAAGTTACAAAGTTGTCACCCGACTATTTATATATTTCAAACTCATCCCTCTTCATCAAAAAATTAATGACAATATGAATTTAACGTTAACCCATTAACTGATATATATAATCGTTTGAAATTTTGGGATAATTATCTTAACACAATATGCTATCAGGCATACTTGATAAGGCTGAGATAATAAATAAAACTATAAATTTTCAAACCTTCGTCTGTCACCAGTCATCGCCATTACGGTGATGTGCAAGTTCCACCAAATACAGTTGAAATACTATTCTTTTCTATTTTTATTATAATTATTGATATTTAATTTATTAATTAATTAAATATTATAAAAAAATATTTTATCCTATTGACATGCTGGATAGAGCTATTTGTTGAGCGAAAGGGTTTTTTATAAGATAGTATTTTCGTCTTAGTATCTTTTAATAGTTTAAAGTGATTATAAGATAATTTTTATTTAAAATTTTCTTTATCACTAATAATCCACATACACTCTATATATGTAACTGTTCCAATTTAAAATTTCTAAAAAAAACATTTCTTTTAATCATTGATATTATTCAATGGGTTCTAAATCCTTGTTAGTTTAAGTATTAATCAAATAAAATATTTATCTATCCCAACTTTTAAATTTAAATATTGAATAGATTCTCTTAATATTTGATGATAGTTATGTCCTGAACATTAGTTAAAAGAAAAGTTACAAAATAAGTTCATCCTCGTGTCAAAAATCCAAATATTTGTATATATCCCTTTATAGAAATAATCGTGTAATACTAAAATAAATCCAAAAATCTCAGTGATTAATTTACTAATTTTAAACAAACTTCAAGGACAAAAAACTTACTTGAATTGATACTTTCATATTCCTTCTGAAATTCAAACATTACCCAATTTGTTATTCCAATTGATTTATTATGTTTTTTTATTAAAAGATTAAAATAGTTTTTAAACTATAATTTTTTTATATTTGTGTAATGTTTATATAATATATTTTTATTTTTTATAATTGTATTTAAAATATTTCAAAACATTTACCTGAACTGCTTGGTACGGGCCAAATTGTGACTCCTGGTTTGACCATCAACGTCACTCCCGCTCTTTCTATCATCCTCGTTACAAATTCCCCTGCCACCGTGGGTTTCAGTCACGCGCCACTTCTTTGCGGCAGCAACGAAGACCTGAGCAATCGTGGTGAAGGGGCTTCCCGTCGGCCGCTGCTTTCGGTACCTCTTGATTCCGATCAAAAACACCGCCAATGCCACCGCCAGTGACCCTGCTAACACCCCAAATCCCGCTGCCCAACTAACATTGTCCTACACGTTAAAATATGTCATCATAATACAATGGAACTAAATTCAAATAATTTATACGAAAATGTGAATGAAACTGATAATGATATAACTTTTTACGTTAACATCATCATGATCATGTAACACAAGTAGCGTTCAATAAAAGGTTTTAGAATGCCGTAATTTAAGGAAAAGAGAATATTATTCTTTTGGTCCCTTTATTACGTTTAAATCAGATAATTAGCTCTTACACTTTAATTATGCATAATCTGATCCTCTATTTTTATATTATCATTGTTTGATTCATTTTTTTAATAGTCTAGTTGATAGTATATGTTCAGATTTTTTTTAGTCTATTAGTAATCCATATAAACCTTGTAGACTTGGTAACTCGAATCCAGGTACTCCAGAAAGAATAACATTAGGGTAACACAATAAATTCATGATTTTAATTATTTAAAATTAACTAATTGTATTATAAAAAAGTAGGGACTGAATCTTAATTTGGAACATCATAGAGGGACTAGAACCTGAATTTAACCTTTGAGGAGAATGATATGAATTAGCTGAATTCACCTGGAGATAAATGACAACAACAATGGCGACCGAGGCTCCGGTAACGATCCCAAGGTACCACCAGTTGAAAAATGAACTTTTGGACGCTTTTTCTTGTGGATTATTCTCATCGAATTGATCAGCTGCGAAGGTCTGAACGCATGGCTTATGGCCTCCTTCGCCTACAGCTAATAGGTAAAGCGCGGTGAAGAACACAGCCTTCCGGCAATGCATGGGGATTACCGACACCGACAAGCTCAATAACACCATCCCCTGCAACAACAGGAATTGTTGAACAACAAAACATGAAATCACGATGAACGCAACAGAACCGGAAAAAAAAGAGATGAAGTTACTACCAAGAAGTAGATCAAAGAGGACGCTAGGATGGTCTTGAATCGACCGAGGTACGAATCCGCGATGAACGCTCCGAGCAAAGGGAATACGGCGGAGACACCGACCCACGTATTGACGTTCTTGGCGGCGGTGGCCACCGGTTCGCCGAGATTATTCGTGAGGTATGATATCAGGTTTCCGGCTAAACCGTAGAAAGCAAACCGCTCGGCCATCTCGACAACTGCATGAATCAACGATGATGGCAATTCAACAAACACTGGTCGAAAAAAAAGGGGAGAAACGATTTACTTACAGATGACGAAAACGGCGGCGTTCCATCCTCCTTTGGAGGGGTGTTTTTGAGAAGATAGGTTGCTGGGATTTTTATGGTCATGGTCGACGGTGACCGGAGCAACTGAGCTATCCATTGAGAATCAGTCGGAGTAGAAGAAATTTGGGTCTATGAAAATGGTGGGATGTCTTGAGGACGACGATTCGTCCAATTTATATAAGCGAGGATTGAGTCCAAACTTTTCCAAAATATGCTGTACTAACCCCACTTTGTCATCAATAGACTAGGATAGGGATCGTTATTTCACTCATATTTGATGGGTTTAGATCTAATTCAACTTCATGAGGTTATGGTTTTTTTTTATAAATAAATTGTTTGACTTGAGTTTCTTAAGAGTATGATTGGATTCGAGTTTAAAATAAAAAAATATTGATTGATATAATATTATAAATATATTTTATATATTTAAGGATGATAGTAATAATATTCTTTTTTATGTTACTCTTTTTAATTAGGTCTATTTTTATATGATAAAAATGAGTTATATATATACATATAGGTTGATCGGGTACGAGTTTTAGTCTCAAAATTCGATTTGGTACAGTACTCTTAAACTTGGGTTGAGTGATGTGGATGAATTAAATTTTCTAATCAAATTTGAGTAGGCAAAAATTTGATATGTCCCGACCTATAGTCATCCCTACTCAGGATAGATCGACGAGTATAAGAGAAATTTCGTCTTTTAAAAGTTTTAAATTCAAATATAATTTATATATAATTTTTTATTGATGATTTAATTTCGTATCTAATAATTAATATCATCGATCAAATTATGTGTTGATCTTTAAATAAATTTGTACTTTGGATTGGACAATTATCGGTTAAAGACATTTAATCCGTGCAAGTCACAGATTAGACATGATATTTTTGTCAAATTCGAATTTATACACAATTCTTTTTCTAAGATCTGTCTTTATTTGCTTTCCATTTGTAACTTCCTATGTTAATCAAAGATTACTAATTTTAGATGGAGTTCATTGAAATTAATTTAGATTAATTAAATCATTACTTTGAGTGCCATAAATAACGTGTTTTGAATTTATAAGATGATTAAAGATAAAAGTAATTAAATCAAGGCTTAAACTAAAAAAATATTCAAATTATATCATTTTTTCCTTTAAGTACCTAAACTATCTTTTGGTCAAATTAAGTCCTTAAACTATTATATGTAATCACTTAAAGTATCTAAACTATTTTTTCAAAATAAGTCCCTAAACTGTAAATCTTTTTTACTTTAAGCCCCTAAACTATTTTTTTTGTCAAAATATGTACCTAGTTTTATACGACATGTCAATATTTTATTGGTCGAAAAATATTTTTCGAACTAAAAAATAATAAGACTTAAAATAATCAAACATAATAATTTAAGGGCTTAGTTTGAAAAAAAATAATTTTGGTACTTAAAGTACAAAGAATACATAATTTGAGTATTTTTTTACTTTAACCCATGAATTAAATAGTGGTTGAAGCAAGTATGAGATTCTGAAGCATGGCAAGAGTAGGAGTATTTGGGTCGGGTTTTTGGTTCACCCGACCCGACCCAAGAACAAAGAGTCCTCCATCCGAGACCCGACCCGACCAAAACAAGTTTTCACCCGACCCGACCCGATACATAATTTAAAAATCCGATCCGACCCGAAATAATAAAAAATATTTTTATTCAATAAAAACAATTACTTAATTGAAAAAAAATATATAGAGAAGTATTATTGTAATTATTTCTAAATATTTAAGATCAAATTGTATATTTTTTCTGGATCGGGTCGGGTATTTTTCACCCTAAACCCGACCCATACCCGAACATCACATTAAAAAATCCCGACCCGACCTGAACCCGATTTTAAAAAAAAATTCCGACTCAATCAGTTTGAGTCGGATCGGAACCGTCTAGTTCGGTCCCATGCCCATCCCTAGTATTTATCCATCAAGTCCTGTATCATTTTTGGTAATATTTATGAAGACGTTTAAAGGAAGGAAGGTAAGATTCCCAATTCCACACACACACACACACACATATATATATATATATTCAGTTTGAAAAAGAAAGAAAAATCTTTAACGTTAAAGCCAAGTTTTAAGTTCAATATTAGATCTATTTTTTTTATCATATTAACGTATCGTTACCTCTACTAGTTAGAAGGTTCCATATTCAATTCTCAATATCTTTAAAATAAATAAAACTAACAGACAACGCTTATAAAATAATTAAAATGGAATAATATTAATGGTTTGAGAATTGATTTAATTTTTTAAAATTAACTTAGAATACAATTATAACTTAAAGATTAATATAAAGTGTTTTAAGATTTAGGGACCAATTTTAGCAAGAATCTAACGCATTCCTCATATATTTCATTATTCCAAAAAAATTCTTCATCGAACTTTATATAAAAGAGTTTAAAATTTTAATCAACTACGACATCCTAATCCTTAATGTAGTAACAACAATGCAACATGAACATGACAAATACAAATGCAACAATTCTCTTTTTTGAATTGTAACATCACAAATGAACAACACCCCCCAAACCTGAGATGTGCATTACCCTCAATGCATACAAACAAAGAGAAAAATAAAATAAAAAAACTTGGGAGATGGGACAACGATACTCTCCTACTTGGGTGTCCTTGGGCTGGTGGTGCTAGTAGGTGAGACATCATCATTCAAGCATAATAGTGGCAGTTGCTGGATAGCAACATCGAGGAAAAATTGGTGATGCAACAGATAATGTTTAGGCATTTCATAGTGAAGTGGAAGTTTATGGTAACTTCCCTTGGGTCCCAATAAAACGATTCTCTTTTATTTTCCTATTGTTGTTGTGGCATCATCACAATGCTCTAGGTCATTTGTGCTTGTGGGTTCGCAACATTGTTCGCAAAAAAACTCTTGCCTACTGGAATTAGCCATGAAGCGCACTTCTTCATTGTCACCATATAAATGCATGGGCTTGACGTTTGAATCTTCGAAGAAGGGCTTTCATTGTAAGAGCTGTGTGAGACCTTCTTCTATGCCTTGGCTACTGTTGTGTTTTTCTGCACCATGGTAGCATTTTTAATTTTCCTCAAGTGCTCATGCCGCAGCTCTATAGTTGACATTGAAGGTGTAGAGCTGCAGTTGATGCTAGGATTAATGTGGAAGCTTTAGATCCCCTCGTTTGTCTTGGTCTCTTTATGATCTGGCTAATCTAATTCCTTTGTTACCGTAACATAGCGAATAACAATCTCAATGTTGTAAGATTCGTCCATACGTTCATGTACAATTTCATCAATGATGTTAATAGAATGACATTCAACATTATCATCATTCATAACAAGATTTAAAATATTAAGGGTAATGTGTTCTTTATTAAGACGTGTAGTAAGTTCTCCCTTTTCAACATCGATTATTACTCTGCCTAAAACAAGGAAGGGTTTGACAAGTATGATCGACACATATTTGTCATCTTCACAGTCTAGAATAATGAAATTTGTATGAAAAATAAAATTTTCCACTTGGATCAACACGTTGTCTATTGTGTTATCAGGGTGAACAATGGACCGATCAACAAGTTGAAGTGTCATGGTAGTATGATGAGCCTTACCAATGCCAAATGTTCTGAAAATAGATAGAGTCATTAAGTTAATACCTGGAACCTACAAATCGATTACCAATAACACAAGGGATAGTAAAACTCCCTAGATACTTTAATTTTGGTGGCAATCTACTCGCAGCTATGGCACTGCACCCTTCAGTAAGTGCAACAGTTTTGAATTCACTAACTCTTTGCTTCTTCAAGAGTACCTCCTTTATAAACTTGATGTAATTCATATTTCGCTCTAATGAATCAATAAATGGAATGTTGATTGTCAATTGTCTGAGCACTTTGATGAATTTTCTGAACCGTTGGTCCTCATTGGCGTTCTTAAATCTTTGGGGAAACAGTGTTGGAGGCCTTGGGTTCAAATGTCTCGACATCGGTGGTGGCATAACAGGAAACATTGTTGTTGGTTTTGTTTCCAAAATTACTACATTATACTGTATTTCTTGCTGTAACATCAATAGTTAGTTCAAGGTCTACTTCCATTTCATTGCCTTTATCTTGCTGTCCGGCCCATCATCATCATTCTTCTTAGGCTCCTCAATAGGCTTTCCAATATGAATATCGCTTTTCGTTGTGGTGGCTTTGTAATGCTCGTAGCAATGAGCTTTCCCTTTTGGCTTTGGAACTTCAGTGTCACTAGGTAACGCTCCTTGTTGTCTACTACTAAGAGAACTTGCCAATTGTCCAACCTGACTTTCTAAAACTCTTAATGATGTTGTTTGACTTGCCATGCACTCCTTCATTAAAGCTTCAAGATAATTAAAGTCGGAATCTTGATTATAATGTTTTCCTTGATAATTCTGACGCGATTATACAACTTATTGTTGCATCTGATGCTGAGGTATCGTCTGTTGCTGATTGTAATGCAGTTGTTGTGGATTTACAACATTTTGACTCCTCCAAGACAAATTGGGATGACTATGAAAGTTAACATTATAAGTGTTTCCATAGGAATTATCGTTCTTATTGTAGTTCCCAACATAGTAGACATATTCAACATTTTGAAGGCATTCCTCATAGCTACGATAATCTCCACAATAAACACATGAGGGAAGAGTGATGTCTTTACCTCGTACATACCCCCAACTTTTGTAATTTCTTTTCCATGTCTGTCAATTATGTGATTTGGGAAGTCATGGAATTGAAAATATCAGAATCCATTGCTACATCATTACATCTACCAAACATGTTCCTCGTGTTGGGGTATTGATAATCATTGTTTGATATTTTTACCAGAATATTATAGACCTCATTATATGTCTTGTCCAGCAATGCTTTGTTTGCTGAAGCACCCGCCACCATTCGAGGGTGCATGTTCAATCCATTATTAAACATTTCTATTTGTGTCAAATGTGAGAATCCGTGCATTGGGCATTTACGCAACAAGTCCTTAAAACGTTCCCAAGCCTCGTACAAACTTTCATCCTCTAATTGCTTGAAGGAAATGAGATGTTAAAATTTAAATTTTCCAAATATAGGGACCATAACTCCATTGGTTCCATTGTCATCCACCTTTGGTGAAAGATGATGACGATAATGACATTTTTGTTGAAGAAACTGAAGATGAAAGTTAAAATTTGAGTCTCTAACAATTGCCTGCTATCGTTTATATAATTCACAAACAATTAAATCTCAACATTAAAAATTTTAATTAAAAATTTTACATAAATAACACGTGATATCATCTAATAATTATTATTTATTATAATAGAAATAATTAATATTTAATTAATAAAAATGGTTTTTATGTTAAATAATATATTTGATTTTTTAATAGTCTAAAATAATTATAAAATAATATTTATTCAAAATTTTCTTAACTTCTTAATGATTCATCATACTTTATAAAACATAGTTACTCGAATTCAAAATTTTTAAAATAATAACATTTTATTTACTATTAAAATCACTTGATGAGTTCGTATTTCATTAATTATAATATAAAATGACTCACCAAGTGTTAGTTTACTAAGCAAGAGAAAAAAAAATCAACATTTGTTGTTATTTAACTTTTGACTATTCTATTAAAAAAACTTTGACCATTGCGGTAGAAACACGCTTTTTACGATAAAACGGCAATTCCTTGCAGTCTTTTAAGTCAAAAGTGAATACAATTATATCATAGTTTATGAAAGCTGAAGGGAATTGCCGTCAATTCCCACCTCACCTTCCTCATATGACGCTTCAGTTGCGTTTGAACGCACATAGTTTATCCCCGAAATTCAATCTTATATTTTGTCACACGATTAATTTTTTAAATTTAATTAACATATGATGTTATGATCAGGGGAAATTAAATTAGGCTTATTCAAAAAATTGAATTTTTTATTTAGTTTAATTCGACTTATAATTTTATAAATTTAACTTAATTCAAAAAATAATTAAATAAAATTTGAGTTATAAAATTATACTCGACCAACTCAAAATTTATAATAATTATTAAATTTATTTTTAATTTCAATTTGAGTATCTTAACTTTGCATGATATATATGAAAATATATATATGTATATTATGTATGGTTATAGAAGCCGTTTAAATTAGAATCAATTAATTCTGTAACATTATAAATATTTACAATTAAATTTAAACAAAAAATTCGAAGAAATTGACTCTAATCAAATTGTATAAAATCAATTTGACTCGAATAAACTTTAAATAAAATTTGAGTTATAAAATAGGACTCGTTAACTCGACTAACTTAAATTTTCTTTTTGACTATTCGACTCAACTTAACTCAATCGAATGCTCATTCCTAATGTAGTACTTTGAAATTATGTTAAAATTTCACTTTTTTTTTGAAATTATATATAAAACATAACAGTTTAAAACAATATAATTTTTTTATATTTATTTTTTATACCTATTTTATAATTTGTGATCATCTTTCACGTTAGTATCATTTTTTAAATTTAAATTTAAATTCTCATATCAATGACAGAACATGTCACACAAATTTTATATAGAATATCTATGATTATGAACCATTAAGTCATGTCCATTTAAGCCATTGTCAAATGCATCCATGATATAACTCTCAATTCACTTTGGAGAGGAAAGGAAAGACCTACAAGATATATGTACCTATACCATTAAGCCATACAAAATGTAGTTTATTTTGCATTGGCAATCCCTTAGTGATGTCCTAGTCACTCCCCATTTCAACATTTTCCCATATATGGTGAAGATTGTCACTCTTTCTTGCCCTATCTTCATCCCTAATTTAATAACTATTTTTCCCATTTTACACAAATGGGATATGAAATCCACATGCCATGTTCCTTTTTTTTTCAACTATCATGAACATGAAAGAAACCAAAGTCTCAGTACCTTTTACCCATTATTCTCCTTTTACATCATAGTTTATAACTCACCACAAAAATTTAAATAAAACCAGTTTTTAGCTCATCATTTGACGATCACATGAATTTTCGTTTATTTAATGATAAATTATATGAATCGATTGATATAATTTCGTATTACCTTTCTACCATATTTTGTTAACATTTTAAAATTTTCGCTTTTTAAGGTGGTTTGATCAATAGTCGGCTAATTTTAGGGATGAATATTTTATCTAAATTAAATTTATTTTAATTTGATCAGATTTGATAAGTCAAATTTTTAAATTTAGACTCGGATCGGATTGGATTAAAATTTAGGGTGAAAAATGCTCGAGTCGACCTTATAATAATAATAATAATAATATAATTAGCCTTTATATATTTAGAGATAATTATCATAATACCACTAGCTTAATATACACACACATTAATTATGTCCCTACTTTATCTAATAAAATTGAGAATATATATACATATATATGGAGCATAATCTGCTTACACAATGTAAAACTAATAAATTTTACATTAATTTATAACTATTAGATTTAAATAAATAAATAACTTAGATTTAGTTAAAATTTACAACACAAAAACAAATATTTTTCAACTCAAAGTAAAACATCTCTTTTTATCCTAATCACAAATCACAAATCTCAAACCCAAACCTCAAAATCTCAAACTCTAAAACCTAACCTCAAATCTTAAACCATAAACCTTAAACATCTCTTTTTACATATTTAAGACCGTTGGATGAGTAAAAACAGATGTATGAGATTAACAGTAAGAAATGTGAATATATTTACTGAAAAAAAATAATGAGTCAATCTCAACCATCTATTTTCACTCATCCATGTTGGAAGTCAAACTCAACATGTTGAAAGAATTATATAGAAGCTTAATGAAGTGGAGCAATATAAACCACAAGCTTATATCGGCAAAAATATTTTAAATTATTTGAAATGTGGCAAAAAGAAGCAACTTTTGAAAGCTAGGCGGCAACAACTTTCTTATTAGTTTTGGCAGCATGCTCATGCTTAATAATTAAGGGGGGGAAACGTGGCATTAAAGGAAAATTAAGGAAGAATCTAGTCCTCAACAAGTCGGTTATATAACCTATATATATATATATATATTTATGCGCTTAGCTTTTAGTTTATATGTATAAGTAACGAGTGAAAGAAAAATATTAGAGAGAATTAAGAGAGAGCTTAGCAAAGCTATAAGGTGATTGTAAACTAGACGCAACTAGTATTGTAATATTGAGTAGTGTCATTGTAACGTATTTTGTTTCGTATCAATAATAGTTCGAGTGTTATAAATTACTGAGAGCCTATCTACGCTTCCAACAAGTGGCCTCAGAGCTTGGTTCGAGTTTAACCTGGTGGAGCAAATGACCAACATGATTCAACCAAAAAATCCCGAGATTGAAAAATTCCCGAGATTGAAAAAGACGAATTATGGCAATTGGAGCATTCAAATGAAGGCGTTACTAGGCTCTCAAGATTTTTGGGATATCATCGAGGATGGTTACACCGATCCTAAAAATGCAGCAGCAGAAGCAGCCCTGGCCAATAAAGAAAAGAAGGTATTAAAGGAAACCCAGAAAAAAGATAAAAGAGCGTTGTTCTTTATTTTTTCAATGAGTAGACGAATCTACATTTGAAAAAAATTTCTTATGCGAAGACCGCAAAACAAGCGTGGGAGATTTTGCAAAAATCTCTACAAGGTGCCGAAAAAGCAAATAAGGTATGCTTACAAACTCTTAGAGCTGAGTTTGAGATGTTAAAAATGAAAAATACAGAAACCATCGATGATTATATTAGCCGTGTGAAAGCGGTTGTAAATGAAATGAAAAGAAATAGTGAATCACTCGATGAGGTTAGAGTTATGGAAAAAATTTTGCGGTCATTGATAAGAAAATTCAATTACGTGATTGTGGCAATCGAAGAATCAAAAGATTTATCCCAAATATTGATTGATGAGCTTGTTGGTTCACTTCAAGCACATGAGCAGAAAATGAAACAAAATGAAAATTCTAAAAATTTGGAGCAAACTCTACAAGCAAGATGAATGTCAACGAAGGAGAAGCTAGCAGCAGCTACACACGAGGTCGAGGAAATCATAGAGGTTATCGTGGAAGATACAAAGGAGGATGAAGAACTTGTGTACGTGGTAGTCGATCATATGACACCGATCAAATAAGTGAAAACAATCCAACATCAGGTCGTGGATGAGGATTCCGAGGCCGAGGTAGAGGCAGATATCAACAAGGAAATAAATTCCAGGTACAATGTTATAATTGCAATAAGTATGGTCATTATAATTATGAGTGTAGATATGCTCCTAAACAAGAAGAAAGAAATAACGTAATAACAACTGAAGAAGAAGAAA